CGTATCTCATCCTATTCCTACATTTAACACAAATCACAGAACTTAACTATTTAATTTAAGATTAATAGTCCACTTGAATACATTTTTTTTCAAGCGCCAAAAAAATTTATTTCTTACATTACAATTCTTTTTAAATGTACAAGTTAAAGAAATAGATAAAAATTATAGAGCTCAAGTTGGAAATGTCTGATGGACAATCAACGCAAAAACTAGCATTGTTGAAATTAAGCCCCCGTTTGGCCTCATCATTAAACATTATAGTGAGATAAATAGTAATTTTTTGGAAAACGTATGGTTAAAAAAGAAGGACAAATTCTTGGGTTTAAGTGTATAGTTGATAAGAAGAGAGAAAAAAAAATAAATTATAATTTATTGAAGAATAATGACGATTAAACGGAGGCCAATGAACAAAAGGAAAACTTACCCAGGACACTTCCAAACGGTTCGGCTACCACGGCTCACTCCAACAAGCCTCAACTTAGATGGCCAATGGCTTATGAATAGTAACCAAAACCCACTCTTTTATATTTAGTTAGATGAAATTAAGCGCCTATTTAGCCCCATCAATCCACACTATAATGAGTTCAATAGTAATTTTTTTGGAGAATGTGTAGTTAAAAAGAAGGAAAAACTCTTGGGTTTACATGTAATATATATTTTACTAGAAAATGTGTGGTTGATAAGAAGATAGAGAAAAATCAATTTTAATTTAATGAGAAATAATGGGGACCAAACGGAGGCTAATGAACAAAAAGGAAAACTTACTCAAAACACTTCCAAACGGTTCAGCTACTACGACTCACTCCAATATGGCTAGGCTTAGATGGCCAATGGCTTATGAAGAGTAACCAAAACCCACTATTTTATATTTAGTTAGATCACGGGAAAATTTATATCATTTGGAGCAGATTTTGGGAAGCAATAAGATAGTAGCTTTTTAGATTTAGCTTTTATCTTCTCCAATTAACCTTCGTTAAAATTTACATTAACATATCAAGTTTATTTTATAATTTTATAAGTTTTGAGAATAAATATCATCTTTTAAAATAAATTTTACAAAAATAATACTACATAAGAAAATCGTTATAATCCATGTCTATTTTATTAATTATGCACAAACACTTGGAAGAAAAAAAAAATCAATATTTTTTTACCAAACATTCAAATGCTAGCTTTGTAACATACAATAATTTTGAAACAAAAGTTTACTGAATACTTAGTTACTTATTCTTGTAACTAATTTTAAAACTGATTTTCTTAAAATTTATAATAATTTTTAGAATCCATAGGAATCTCAAACCATGCCCTATCTGTGCAGCTGATAACTTTTATCCATTTGAGTTGAATAATTTTGAGTCATGTTTATCCTATACTACATCTTTACAAATCTAAAATGTAAAACACATGTAGCAGATAGGTCGCTCATTCGTAGAGGTTTAACTAGGGAAATTAACATTGAGAAAAATAATGCTATCTACCACCACTATTAAGATAAGTAGTTCAAACCCTTATAAATTAGTTTACATTTCGATAACTATTCGATGTGTGATTTATTCTTTAACATGTTCTCGTAAGATGGTGACTCGTTTGAGCAAATGAATCTTGAAATTTTTGTGCTCGTTTTTTGAGTCTGAACCAGATCGAATTGTTTGTCTGTTTAATGGCTTTATTATCATATTAAAATTTGAAGTTTCATCTTAAAATGTCAATCTTATGTTTTCGAAATCTGTCATAAACAGATACTTTAAACACTCAGTTATTTTGTCATTATCCGCTTTTAATTTTTCTTAAAATATAAAATAATCGATTAATTAATGTTATACCGCACGGACACACAATCACTTTTAGCCGTCCCAGGCATGAAAAATATGCCTCATACAGTTCATCAACCGGCACAATGATTAGATTTATTATAATCAAATTTACTTTTACCCTATTTAAATACTCATCATTAAGTTTCAACCCTTTTGCCTAAAAAGGAGAAACAAATTTATGCTTTGTCGCCTTTTCATCTTGTGAACAATCAGGGCATCAATAGTTAACCTCC